GTTTTATTTTAAGTCATATCCTCAATGTGCAGATTAATGAAAGAATTTGAAGGCTATAGTGATGTAGTATGATGCCATTTATATTCTGCAGTGAGTCGATGTGACGTAGGTAAAAGTAATTTCGTGCATTTTGTAAATTCTGTTCGATGACACTGTAACCATTTAGAACATTGCGCGATTCAATGAGGACATTGACCGGACTGTCCGGGGAGTATGTGACATTCGACCAGAATGGCCAAAATGCAGTCTCTGCAGAATTCAGGATTTTAGCAGTGAACCTTCCGGATTGGCGATTTAGAACGGATAAGGACGTTATTTGAATGATTGGCCAAACGGTGAAGGCTAGAAGATTCTGGAATTCTAAATTTTAAATTTTCGAAGTGATGACGTAACATTTCTGAGAAATGTTAAAACGGCCATTTTGGCTAAAATAGCAGAAAGAAACAGAACAACTTTATCTGCGATTACGAACAGTACGAAAATCGAGACTAAAAAACAACAACGAACTACCGAACAACAGAGGACGTTCCGAGTTGCAACTATTGTGCTGCTACAATAGTTGCAAGGCCGTTGCGAACAACGGTGAAGGGTAAAGACCAGCCCTCCGAGTTAGCGTGAACCTGAGGTTAAGGAGCTTGATTCGCCGGATTCAAGAATCCGGAAGGGTCTCGGGACGGGAACTTTTATGAACTTGTATTGAATTTTAGCATCCTGTCATGTCCTGACTTGAATTTAACTGATATTTTGATTAGTTTTGACAAGGATGAGGTGCTAGGAGTTGGGGGAAAGGGTTGATCCATCTTCGATGGAGATGATGATTTTTATCTACTGAACAAAAACAATAGTAATATAATAAGTAGTAGCCCTGTTTTTAGGAGTGACCTCGTGGTCTGGGGATACAGAGACCCAGCCATGAGCTCACTAACTTTGCATGTAATTCAGTTAATTTGAGCGTTCTGGTCGAAGCCGGAGAACAGTAGCGTTTTTGTCAGCCTGATGTAAGAAAGACCACCGAAAAGTACTGGCTTGGTAGAGACGGTGAAAAGCATGCAAAGCTCTGTTTAGACGCTAGCCAGTCGTCTTAAGACTTAGTTTTGTTATCCGTCGATATGTATCTTCCGGGCGAATGTTACAGTTGTTCTTATGATCGGTGATCGAGTTGTTAATTAGATCGTGCCACAGGACAATGTTCTTGTTGCAGTTTCGTGGGAGATTGATGAAGTTGATCGCCTTTTTGTCGTAGAAGATGTTGCGGAAATTGAGACTGAGTCCAGAGTACGCGTAGACCTCTTTCCTCAATTCTCTATTTTCGTCTTCGTCCAAAGAATCAATTGCTTGGGCTAGGGAGCTGGCTCCAACAATTTGCAACATCAGGTGATGATAATATTTGAGACAAGAGGCAACCACGGCTACCTCGAAACTCAATACTTATCTGAAACTATTTAATGCAACTGTGCACATTGCAACCCGGTTCAGAAAGTCAGATCAGCCGTCAAGTGATGGGGCAAACCCTTCTGTAACACACTGAAGCCTGAACTCTCTCTTTTTCTCACTCTCTCTGAGTAGTAATAACGAGTTCTCAATCCTGTTTTTAACGGCGTTCTTGTGTTTTAGGTATTGTAAGATCTGGTAATGGCAGCGTTCTGTTTAATTTCGAGAGGTTTTGTTTTTATAGAGGCCTTTAAACCGTAACGATCGTGAGTTCGTGTTTAGTTGAACGATTAAACGGCTCCGACCGATTGAAATAGAAGAAAACGAGAGATTAGTGTCAGTGGACATTGAGCCAATGGCTATAGATACTCTCACTCTTGATCTAAAATGCCTCTTAAGTGAACGATTGTCAAATGCAAACGTCAATATTCGACACCTCGGCTTAGGGATTTTTTAAATAAAACGATGCGAATATTTCGTAGACCCTTAAAATTTTGTTTAGATAATAAGTTGAATAAATGTGTGTTTAAGCTGCATTCATTTGCGAGCAGGGCGGTGAACAAGGTTTTGTCTAATAAGATCAAGTTCTTGTCCATATACTCTGCCGAGTGCATCCTTGCTGAACTAGTTTGTAACGATAAGTAATTGTAAATATAAGTAAATTTAAGTATTTTTTTTCAGGAAAATGGAAGTATTAAGCAATCTTTGAATATATCAAGGAATGTGAACAAAAAGCAGAATGAGTTCGGAATTGCGTCAAAGTTCTAGAAGAACTTCTAAACGCCCTAAGGTATTTGGAAGCGAAGAACCTGTCCCAACTGCAACCCTCATTCCGTTTCCCTCCGGACGAAAGTCCTTTTTCGGTGAGTTGACCAAATTTCACAACGAAAGAGGAACACCATTGCCACGGTTTCCAACAATTTCGGGACAATTTGTTGACTTGTTTGAACTCTACTGTGCAGTTATAAATCGTGGTGGCTATAATCGATCAACAACCTATGACACATGGGCAAGCATTGCGGAAACTCTCGGTTTCAGCAATTGCTCAAATTTAACTGTGGCTTTGAGACAAGTTTATGCGCGGTATTTAGCCCATTATGAAAGCGTGACAATTTCTCTGGATGACGAGGATTATCATGACTACGACGATTTGCATGGGGAGGCAGTTAGTAATTTCGCTCGACGAAAAACGCTACCAACGATAACGGTATGCAACATTCCAGTCCAAATGACTTATACTTCGGAGTTATCTGCAAAACAACCTAGATCAGGATCTAGATCTACCAGTCTATCTTCCAGCAATTACTACCTGGACAAAATGTTTCTGTCATTAGTTTCTGGTCTCCCAAATGAACACAGATTTGTCCTTGATGCGTGTATGCTCATGAGCCACGATCCAAATCATGCATCTGCTATTTGTGAGCATGACTATATGTTGAACGTAATTCTTGCAAATATCGGCGTTCTGCCAAACAGCTCTACGTTTTCAGCGCTCTTTACCGACTGGTTTTCCAAAGTAACCCCAGAAGCAAATTTTACCTTATTCTGGATGAACTCGGTGAGTGACCCTTTGGCTCAAAAGTTTATGATGAATCTGGAAATCTTCCAGGAAGCTATTATCAATCAACCGTCTATCCATTCAATGATTCATTGTAAGACCTTATCAAAGTGCGATTCAAGTGGCAAAGCACACAAAAGAGCTAGTATTGTTTTATACTTCATTAGGCATCTTTCATTTGATGCTAAAAACCAGCAGAAACTAACTCAAAACGAAGCTGTTCAGCAGTTTCTTCTCTTTTGTATCGGAAGTAAATACGCCAACTTGAAAGTCTTAGCTCTAGATACCATTGTGAACCTTTCTCCAGCGCTTAGTCTGTCAAACGATTGCCTTTTCAATATAACCATGCAAATTGTCCTTGAACTTCTGAACTCAGTTGATAGCGTTGACCGAATCAGATGCATGGAAATTCTAACGGGTCTGTGCCAAAATGCTGCAAGTGTCAACTCAGTTATTATGAAATTAGAACTTAGTGTCTTCGAGAAAATAATAGCAATGCTAACAGTTCAAGACTTACTTGTTTTGTTAAGCTGCGTTGGACTTTTGTATCAATTGTCGTACCTCGGAACCGACATGTGTGATGTTCTTGTCAAAGTAAGATACATGATAGACTTGCTTACCTCTCTGGTAACATTTGACGTGCAATCAATGGGACTTGAAGCGCTGACATCTGTTAAGGTCATCGAGCAGCCAAAGTCATTATTAGCTCGAGGTCAGCCATCAACTCAGTCAGCGACTGAACAACAACAAGGCATGGAGTTAGAACGGTTAGCAGTTAAATGGGCTCTAACTAACTATGAGTTCAGCAATGAAGAAAACAACGGGATTCTCTCGAATGACGTGTTGTCGCATTTCAAAAAGTACTGCGCGATGGTTCATTTTCGGATCCAGAGCGAACTCTCAATGAGTCAGTTCAATCGATGTCTTAAAATTGCGTTTCCAGCTACTCAACCAAAGTTGGTGTCCTCGAGCGATGGATCGATGTACTTCGCTGGTCTCCGCAGAAAACAACACCCTTCTGAGAGGTATAAAGCGGCGGGACCTCCGAATGGAATGAATCAGTTTCCCCATCTCAGACCATCGAACGGAACCAAATCTAAGCCAGATCAGTCGAATATTGTAAATAACGGAAAAGGTGTACTCATCAAACCTCGAGCAGAAATTCAAAACCATCAAACTGCGAACGTTTACCAGAGTTCAACTGAAGCAGCATCTTCGAAGCAAGTTTCGGATTCGATTAAGTTCGAACCACATAATGGCAATGTAGCTTCAAGTTCAAGTGCGCAAGTACAGGTGCCAAAGTCGAAAGAACATCCAGTTTTGCAAAATCAGAACATGGTGTCTGCAAACCATGTTGTAATCCCCCGACAACTTTGCCAATCGCCGAGCTCAAAAGCTGTCGTTACTGGACAAAACCAAAACCAGCAAATTTTAGTTCAAGTTGTGATGCCAGGTAGCAATACTGAAAGCGCGTTCAAGAAACAAAACCCGGGGAAAACTATCATACAGGCAAATAATGGACCGATTACTATCTCGTCTGACGGTAGAAGCAACGCTGCGTCGCCTAAAAATGCTGCACCAACTTTTGTGCTGAGCTCTGTTGCAAATAATCAAGTTTATCTGTCCCCGGTAACTTCCAGACAAACGGCTGTTAGTCAGTCCAATAATTTGGTACCGGGGTCGTTAGTGAAAGGCCATTCAAATGTTGTCAATGCCAATCAAATGATGGTCACGGCCCAATCCGGGACAACGGCTTTTATTGTAAACCAAGCGATTGCAGCTAACAACAACAACACCTCAGCTCAAGTTGCTATCAATAAAGCGAAAACCGTGAACATACCCAACCAGCAAACACAAGTGATACTTACATCAAATAACCTGACAACCAACCCAAGCGCAGTTCACAATATAGAGAAGGTTAATGGAAATTTAAACCAAGTTGGTGTTGTTCCTAATTTGGTGGCCAAATCGAAGCCTGTTACGAATAATGTAGCTCCGCATCTCATTTCGACAAACCAAGCGACAGCTAAAGCAGCAGAAAGTGCTATTCAACCGACAATTGCTCTTGTCAATGGAAATTATGCAACCAAAATAAACGGAGAAGCTGAGCCAATGGAAATAGTAAATGCCCATTCTGTTCAAGCAAACTCGACAGCCGTGCATGCAATTAACGGAGCCATAGGACAAAATCGATCAAATAATGCCTCTCCTACAGTTTTGAGTTTTACGCCAGTACTGAAACAGGTTTCAACGGGTGGGGGAGGAATCTTGGCCAGTAGTAACCCCTCAACGTCGCAAATAGCATATCAGAACCAAAACCACCTTGCGACGAGCTTAAATGCGAGTAACTCAGTCGCTGCTAACAACCGTTGCGAAGTGAATGGCGTAGTTTATAAGTTAGTTAACGACATGGCTGCGATTGGCAATAACTCAAGCCACGGTGAAGGTCAACAGAAAGTGGTATATGTCACTCCCAAAGCAGGCAATGAAAACCCAACCGCCCGATTGATTTCTCAGCCTCAAATTGTTATCAACGGGGATGCAGGAGATCACCTTTCAGAAGTGAAAAATATAGTCGCAGCTACTTTTAATACAGATGTCAGCAAAACTCAAATTGTAGGACAAGCTATTAACAGCATACCAGCAATAAGTAGCATCAACGGAGATTCAACTCTTAATCGCAAGAGAAAAAACTCTGTGGATATCCAGTACGGAATGCAGAACCAGGTACTGATAACGTCAGCAACTCCTGGAGATGAACCTTCTTTGGGAGTGTTCAGAAAGATCAAAATAGGCGAAACTGTAAATAATCCGCAAGTTAGTAAAGCTATCACAACCGCTCAACCCCAAACCATTGCTACTGCAGGATCAGTCGCTAAAAAGGAGCCCGTTAGCAGCTCATCGTTTTCAAACATACCTTCACTGCATGCAGCTGTAAATTCGGTCATTGCGGCATCAGCAGACGGATCGCTCCTAGGAGCTGCAGCTAACCAATTATCAGTATCTTCATCGGACCCAGGAGTTGCCAGGATATTAGTGCAACCCGTTAATTCACCCTCAAGCAACGTCAATGGAAACCAGGGACCTAACGCTGGATTCCAAAAACGAGGACTAGTCTCAACAACTCTACCTTCCAGTCATGCCCAGGCCCATCCGGGTGAGATAAAGGATTCAGCTGTTAATGGATTCCATGGAAACCGGAGTTCTGACAACTCCAACTTAAACCCGAGCCAAAACAACCCCTTGAAACCGGGTACCCACAACCCAACTAGCAATTCCAACTCATCAAGTACTTCCCCAAACGAGGCTTCGCCCATACCGCCGAAAGAACCTCGACTTGAACCAGGTGTGAACATTCATAATTCGAACGCGCCATTCCGATGTGACTGGTACAACTGCAGTTCCCGGTTCGAAAAGTGGCAAGCAGTTTTACATCATTGTTGCCGAGTGCATTGCGCTGAAGTAGGACCGGAAGGAGCGATTTGCCAGTGGAGTTCTTGCGACGGCCTAAGAAGAAAAAAACTGTCGTTGTTCACTCACCTTTCCGAGAAGCATTGCACCGAAACGCTTCTGAAAAACGCTGCTAGTAGGGATCCGAATCGAGATCTAAGTGGTCCCACAGCTGCTTCGGCACATGCAGAGTCTCTCTACAGTACACATACATTACACCACGCCTTGCAAAGAAGTGGATGGATGCCTCCGAACAAAGACCAAACCCTCTCAGTTCTGGAAAAAGAAGGACCGGTGAGCAAAGCAGTGCGACTAAATGCGGCCCTGGTTCTCAGAAATTTAGCCCAACATTCTTCAGAAGCGAGAGGGTTGATCAGACTTCATGAGCGAAAACTTAATTTAGCAGCATCCAGTTGTATCGAGGCTGCCCCGTTTTTAGCTAATTGTTTGTTAAATTTGTGCAATTTAGACTCAAACTAAACGTTTGTTGGTGATTAATACTTTGTCTTTTCTGAACTCGTTCGAAGTTCCTTTGTTGAATACAGTAGTATATTATTTTCCTAGTTCAAAGTCGCACTTAATTGAAAGTTTACAGTGGGTTATAATGCTGATCAGAGAATTTGTGCCGTGGAGTTGTGGAATCTTTTTTGTTGTTCTTCTAGTATTTCATGAATCCTTGTAAGACTTGAAGCGTTTTTGTAAATCCTTTTGTCTTTTTCTTTTAAAGTAGATTATCCTTCATTTAATTAACTAAATAAATACATTGTTATTCTATCGCATTTTTACTTCTGCAGAAATAAGCTCCGTTAGAGAAAATCGAGTAAAACTGAAATATCAGTATGGTGGTTCAATATTTTTGTTCAAAAAGCCTAATTCTGTGAACTAATTTGAACGCAACTTGAAGACAAGACTCAAAGGTTATCCTTGGGTTTATTAAAAAAAGACTGCTTAAGATAAACTTAATTCGGGGATCAATTAGAAAAAGTATCTGATTGCTTTCTATGGTGTAAATAAAAAAGCACACTTTTAATTTTCAAAATCATATCAGAGCTCTTGAATAAAATTTTGACCTTTTTATGTCGACCAAATTGATTTTCCGAGCTCTATCAAGTCAGTAAAAAAACCTGCCTCTTTTGGCAAAATTTTTAAAAAGCAGGGCCCGTAGAAAAATTTTAGGGTTAGCCAGCAAGAAATGGCGGTCTCAAAATAGTATCAAAGGGACCATTTGGGTAGTCAGGGTGTCGAATCCCTGAAAAGGGCATCACATCCACGCCTCCCCAATCCACTGCTGACTCTGGGTAGGTATTGTTTGTCAGTTGTTCTGATGCACCAGAGCCAGTCGAACGAGGTTTTTTTTTTCCATGGGTCATTTTTGACTTGGATGCCAAGTTGGTGGCGTTCAGTGAGTACCTAATCGTCATCTGTGGAAATTCGAATGGCATTCTTTTTTAACGGTAAAAGATTTTTCGTCGACCTGAATAAAAAGTCGACAAAATTAGGATTTGGCATTCAATAATTTCGATTGCGTGATTTTTTAGATACCTGCCCCCCCCCCCCCCCTCACACACACACACACGCACATCTGAAATTTGTAAGTCAGCTAAAATAGGTTGCATATTAAAATTTTGGATAGTCTCTAGATGTACCAATGTCTCAGAGCCAAATCTGTTTCAATTCATTTTCATTTGGTTCAGTAAAAACGAGCTTATGAAGCTGAGTCCAAAAAAATTCTGTGTAACGAAAAAATTTACTACCAATAAGAGGTTTGACAATTTTCTCAGTTTCTTTATTCAGGAAGTTCAATAACTTTTTTTGGCAAAAATATAAGTTTTTAAATATATCCAGGAGGTTGAAGAATACATGCTGTAAAATAGAAATGAAAATTTTCGTATTTTTGTTTCGTGAGTTATGTATCGGCAGTTCGCAATCGACCCTAATCTCTCGAATGATGAATTTTGGTCAATAACTGACATTTTGCACGACTCGGGAAGAAATTACAATTGAACACTTTGACCCAGGATCCCATCAATGTCTTAGACATCAGTTGTTGAACAATTTAAGTTGAAATTACGACGAAAGCGATTGCGCTTGCTTTGCAAAGCATTCAATATCCAATTTCTGTTGGATTGTTTATGGGCATATATCTGGCGTTTTTAATGGTCTATCAAATTTTTTCTTAAAGCGCTTCATTTTTGAGGCCAAGCCGATCGAATTTCACTAGGAGATATCGAAATCTGCCGCTAAAAGATGCCGGGGTTGTTAAATCGCCAACTATTGCTCGAAGGTTTGTTTTCTTTCCATTTTAGTTTGCCAATTATCTTTTTTGAACTTCAAGTAAAAGTGATTATCCATACACGTAATGAGTACAGCTTTCCTTTGGTATGATTTCCTTAAAGTTTAAAATGCATTTTTAATAAAATAGTATCGACACGTGAAATATTCAGCTGATTTAGTGGTGAATCTATATTCATCCCGTTGTAGAGTGTTTATAATCTTATTTAGCATACTTAGACCCAGAAATTTAATTCAAAATAAATCCGGGGCGTACGTTCGAGCCAATTAATTTGTCTTATTTTAACTTGAATAGTGTTTGAGGCTATTTTTTTCACCGTCTAAGCGCTTACAGAAAACAGGGATGATATAACGCGCAAAAATAATTCCTAAAAGAAGTAACTTCAATCCCCTGTAGCTTTGCAGTTAAAAAATGCTAGTGATTTTTTTCTGAAATTTGCAGCCTGAGGGACCTGATTTTTATCAAATATGCTATAAAAAATGTTCTCGGGTTTTCTTGAGACAGTAGTATAAAAATGTCTGGTATGAAAGCTCAGATAAATTTGTAATAATGTCCACTCTATCCAAAATATTCAAAGGGTTTTCCATACTTAGTGATTTTTAAGCACCGTGCTAAAACAATAGATTTATCAGGCTTTCGAGATGATGAACCGAAAATTTTTGCTTGGCCTCTTTTCCGACAAAATTTGGTTATCTCTTGTTTTAGTAGGTCGCATGATACCATTACGCATCGACAAGCACTTTCTAAATAGTTCGGAAAAGGATTTGGGATTGGGTGGGTAGTTTGAAATAACTTCGTAGCTTACTGTTTTGACATGCTGTAGTCTCGTAAATAGCTGAGACAATCCTCTTCAGTCAATTTTAATTGGCAGTTGAATTGAAATTATAAAACAAAAATTAAAATATTTTTGTTTTAATTAAAATTTCTTCTCTATTGCGTCTCAATACTATATCAGATCACCAGTGAAACTATGCGCGTGGGGGCCTGAAAAGAACTTCAACTAGTAAAGGATTTTGACTGGTTTGGAGGAGAGGAATTATTTAGAAAGAACACTCAACAGATCCCTATTGGTGGACACTTGGGCTGGAATGAAGGCATCCAGATTCAAAAGAACATTGGAGGAGATTGTTGAGCTTGGTGAGATCAATCCAATTACTCCCCCGAGTTTTTTCCGGGAAAATGTCAAAAAGGAAATAGAAAACGTCTAATAAACAGAATATAAGTGTTTTATTACCTGAAGATCCCGAATACCCATGTAAACTTTGCGGAAATGAATGCAAATTTAATTGTCATTCGTTTGACATTTGCGAAACCTGGCTTACGATGATTGTTACAAACTGCCTAAGGAAGTTCTCTAAAATTTAGGCAAATAAAAAGGTTTATTCAGGAAATGCGAGAAGTGTTTAGACTTAAAAAATGAAAAGAGATAAATCGAAAAAATCTTTTGAGAAAATCACAAACGAAAATCAAAACGCAAATTTAGCAATCCAAAACAATTTAGCCAGTGTAAAATTTTCAATACAACAGAATAACGACCAAACATTGACAGTTCAGAAAAAAAAATCAGCAACAAAAACCTTGCTTTTTCGAAGCAGTCCATTAAACCGAGTAACGATTTTTCGTCAATTGGGCAAGATAAAAGTGTCTGGTTTATATACAATTAATGATGCTCCCTCCCCGAACCAAGCTAAAACAGACTCTAGTGATATAAGAAACTAGTGATATATGGGTTAGCAGAAATTATTCAGGACAATAAAGTTGTACAAATTAAAAGGGACAGAAACAGTTTGCTGCAAATGTTCAGAGATATGATTAAACTTGAAGAAATTACTGTGAGCGACTGTTTTAGACTTGGTAAAGAACAACCACACAAATCAGGACCTTTTGTCTTTTTCATTTCATCTCCTTGGCATCATAAAATTATTTTTTTTGTTATTGAGAAAGGTAAAAATTCGAATATGTATATCAAAGAATTTATGAATTTTGCGGACTATCAGAACGAAAGGAAATTTCTGAAATGTAATTACGAATTGAGTTCTTTGATGCAAAAAGAAAAATCAGAATTCAAAATAAAGGCTGGAAGCCTTGTTTTTGGCACTTACACAATTGACTGTAACAAACAGCTTCAATCTGAGTGTGGTCGAATTCTTGATAAGGGGAACTCTTCCTCTTGACTACTAAATGACATAGATTTTGCGTCACTTAATTGCAGATCAATTTTAACAATTGAACGGAAGATCAACCTAACATTGTTGCCCTAAGTGAAAGATAAGTGGATAAACAGGTTGAAAATGCTGCAGTCTTCTGCGCAGACATATATGAAGTGATTCACCGTTCTGATAGGAAAACTGAACCTCACGGAGGAGTCCTAATTGCGGTTTAAACATCATCTAATTTGACTTTCATCGATGATCGATCAGTGATTTTTGACTTCAGTTCACATTTGTTTGTGAAGCTGAATAACCTAATGCTTTGCGTGACAGCCATTTGCAATCCACCACTATGCAGGTCTCATATTCTGAACAATATTATATTTGAAAAATTTTGAGTGAAGTGAACAAACAACTCATTGTTCATATGGTAGAATCTAACTTGAACTCAACGCAGTGGATTTTATCGGCAATCTGAACTTAACTTCATTTGATTGGAATACTTTATCAAGTGATGATCAGCGTGAATCCAGTTTTATGAAATCATTCGCGAAGTTCAATCTTGGTTACTGACAGATAATGATTTTTTTTACAACGAGACGTATTATAAACCGACAACCCTTTTTTATGCCATAACTTCGAAATAAACCAAAGCTTCTCAGATCATCCTGCACTTTCCTGTCAAATAGCATTTGAAATGGAAACGGAACAGATAAATCTAAACCGTTGCTGTATCCGTAAAGCAGACTGCAAAACTTTGCGTTTGTTTTTCTTAAACAACAGACTTCATTGCTCGAATGATGCAAATAGAATTCTTGAAACGTTCTATGGGTTGTATTATCAAGCCGTTACCAAATATAATCCAAAAAAGACAATTCTCACCTTATTTTTAGATGTTTCAAAAATTTTCGACTCTATTAGCCATAACATTATGTTATACAAGCTTGACAAAAAGGCTCCGACGATGAGTTTCTTCACTTTTTGGCATCTTACCTCACAAACAGAAATTAAGTGGTGGTCCACGGGGATCAATTTTTGCAGTTTGCTTGTTTTCTTTATATATAAACGAGATGCCAGAAATTTTTGACAACCCTTCTTTTTTATATGCTGACGATTAAAAAGTTATTGAAAATTGGTTTGACCTTTCTTCGATTCAAATAGATTTAAACAGTGTAATCACCTGGGCAGCAGAAAACATAACTGTCTTCAGTTTAGACAAATTTGAACAAATTAGATTTCAAAAATCAAACAGGTGATACCCTTTAAGCGATCTTTTATCTTTTGATGGAGAACAAATAGTTTTAGAAGACACGGCAAAAAACCTTGGTGTTTAG